ATTGAGATTAATAATTTGGTGTTTCATAACTTTTCGCTTTTTCTTTTTTAGGGGGTGAAAAAAATAAATTTCCCCCTATTGGCTAATAATCCGCGTATCTTTTAGCGGCTTCCTCATAAGAAGGACCTGAATATTTTCACATACTCCCGCTTATTTCCTCACGGATTTCTCGTAAATAAATGCGGTTGTAGATTTCTAGGATGGGTATGTTGTCAGCAACCGAGGGGTCAGCGGCTACTCGGGCTTTTCAGTAATCCTCGGTATAAAAGGATACATCAGGGATTTCACCGTATTTTTTCAATTCCGCAAACGAAGGTTGATAATCAGCAAATTTGGTGAAGGTCGGAAGATTTAGCAACTTTAAAGCGGGTAAAATTACGGTCTGAAATTTCTCATAAGTTTTGGTTCCGTTAAACTCAAATTCTAGGCGGATTATGGGCTCGGTATGGTTGGTGTGATTGAAAACACAACCATTAATGCCCTCGTCTGGACTGTCTTGGCAGGATTTTCAGGCAGGGTTATTTTTGACTGTGGCACGGGACGAAGTAGCCAGGCAGAGTTTTATAAAATCAATCGGTGAGTATGATTTTTTATTTGGTGGTGCTTTGGCTTGGGTCTGCTGGCAAGTCTGCCTTTTTACTCGTAATCTTTTTTCTCGGTCTAGTTCAAAATGTGGGGCTAATTCGTGTTCGGCTTGATAACAATAATTGGGCTCGTTGTTAATAAACACACGGGAATATTGGACGGGTTTTTTAATCCCCACACGGAAAAATTTATAAACGGCCATACCTGACAAAAGTCCGTATTTTTGGGCTTTTTCGGGGTCTTGGCGTAAGCGAAAATTTTTAATGAGATACTTGGCTAAATACCGAACTATGGCTTCGGGTGATTTAACTAATTTTTCCTTATGGCGTAAAAGCTTAATGGGCCGAATATCGACCAATCCTCACGACCAAAAATGAGCCAAAATAAAACGGCAATCTCAACAGCCCCGTCCTAATTCTAAACCACATTTAGCATGACGGCAATGATTAGGAAAAAAGTCGCTAATTACCAGGTGAATGTGCCAATTTTGACGGCATTCGTGGCGAATTTTACAACGGCATAAATTAGGGTTGTGGTTAGCACGATTTTTCTTTTTATTCTTGCCTTTGCGGACTTGGATATGGCACTTAACTTGGCAATCGTGGAGTTCAGGCACGGCCGCTCAACGCAAATTTTTCGGTTTGAAATAGGTTTGGATATCGTAGATAAAGCGTAAAAATAAATCGTTTACTCCCTCGTCATCTCGCCCGACTTTCTTACTGGCTATTCTTTTTTCGGCGAGGAAAGAACTAACGGCAGGGTCTACGGTTTTATAAAGGTGTTCGGCATTAGGACAAACAGAAAAGAAGCATTTTTTCTCACTTCACGGAGCCCGACGAAATTTTAAGACTTTTTGTTCGTTGTTAAAAGTTGAGGTTAAAAATAAATCGTTAATTCCGAAGTTCATCACCATTTTAGCGAAGAAATTACGGACCGAAGCGTAGTAATTGCCGTTGTGTCTAATTTCCTCAAATACTCGGTATATTTCGGGTTCTTTTTGCCTGTCGTGTATTCAGTAAGGCGTTTTGCCGTCTAAAATGTTTTTATGCCTTGGCCCTTGTTTGTAAATACCAATAGGAACATTCCCCACTGAAACCCGAGCTTTTTTAAAGTTGGGGCGTAATCGGTAACAGAAACATTAAATAATTTCCCTGAACTCGCACTATCCGAAAATAAACCCGCAAAAATATCGTTTTCCAAAACTGATTTATAATCGTTTTTTGAACCCGCAAAAACAGATTCATTATTAATCAAGAAAGAATTTTACTCCGTTATGAAATAAGCGAAAGTATTAAAGAACTAAAAGAACAGTTCGCCGCTTTAAAAGC